GCCGCCGCCGCTTTTGCCTCTTCGGCCGCCTTCTTCTTCTCTTCCTTGATCTTGGTCTGCTTCTCCTCTCTTCTTCAACAACCAGGCCCAACAAAGCTCAAACTTGTTAGGATAGACCTCATATATAAGGCCAAAAAGTTTAAAGTTCTCCCGTTGTCTATCTAAGTCTCCCTCTCTTCCATAAAGTCACCCAGATCAACGGTGCTCTTGTCACCGCTCCAATACTTGTTCCCGAACACGAAGAGGTAGCCCACGCTGGCATCGTCAACGCATTTGTTGAAGCTCTTCACCGCTGGAACTTTCTCCATGCCATCAAACTGGAAAGTCGTCTTCATGGCAGCCGATTTCCCTCCGGAAGCAATGTCTGCCAAGACATTGAGGCCGCCGAGTTTCACGGCGCGCTCCTCCTTCGTTAGTCCCTTGAGATTGCCCTCGTTGATTGATGTCATGCCTTCCAGGCACTTGCCGAGGGGGCCTTTCCCGATGTACCTGTGTTAGGGTTTAGGGTTTAGGTTTAGGGTTTAGGGTTTAGGGTACCAAAACTTCTACCGGGGTGCTTCAACCCTCCCAAGTTCTGCTGCAGAATCTGCATGACCACGCCGTAGGTCGCGACTTTGCCCTTCGTCATGCCCACGACGTCATCTTTGCACATCTGGGCTGGCACGCAATTCGCTGCATAGCCGTGGTCCGCATGCTTCGTGTTCTCAAAAACGAAGAAGTAGGAGCAAGCTTTGTTGGCTGGGTTCTTCTGCTCTGACTCCCGCATCTGGCGGCACTGGGTGCTGCCCACTTTGAAGATCTCCTTGTCGACCTCCTTGACGTTGCCATACACCTGGTTGCTGTTGATCGCTTCCGACACCTCGCTCGCTTCACCTGGGTCGGCACAGCACTCTCCGAGCACCTCGAGCTTGCCCAGTCCAGAGTGTACATCTTTCATCATCTCGGCATGCATCTCGAAGCTCTCTCCTCCAAACAGCTGCCCAGTGACAGGGATCGACACGCGTGCGTAGGCATGGCACTGCGCGATCAACGCAATCGGGATGAGGCGACCAAGCATGACTGTCGCAGCGGAGTGCAAAGGAGTCGGAGCAGATGTCGAGGCTTCAAGGCGCGTTCTTGAGCCAAAATGTTTAGGTTTTGGGCTTTGGGGTTTGGCGTTGCAGGAAACATAGACAAGACAGAAGCTCATCTACCCACTTCTGGTCGCCCTTGAACATGCTTGGTGCCTATAGGAGGCTTTGGAGTGGCCCTACTTGTTTCCACCATCCGATACTTGGAGGTTCATGGGTAGTTATAAGTGGGGTTATAAGTCCCCTAATGTGGGTGATAACAGTGATAACTCTAGGTGCCCTACTTATAACCCCACTTAGAACTACCCCATGGACCTCCAAGTACCACTTGCATGCTGAGGGCTACGTGGTTGTCCTGGATGTCCTCTTCGCAGTGAGCGGATTGCTTTGAAGAGGCGAGCATGCCCCAAACCCAAAACCCTAAACCACTTTACAGATGCCGCGCTTCCGACGATGGCTCTTGCATGCAAGTTCACCGCGGAACACGGTAGAAGCTAAGACCCCGCACAAGAAACAATGCGCCTGCACGTCACCCGGCAAAGCTAAGAACGTCATGCTCAGAGAGAGTTTGCGATTTGGGAGGTTCTTCTTTCTCAAGGTGCCCTTTGATGGATACCCAGTTTCATAGCTTGCAACAAAACGAGGACCCCTCCGACGACGGCCTCATCAATGTAGGATAACTCCGCCCCAGCCCCATGTCATGTTCATCAGACTGTGCAGGACAGATGCAGTGGAGTACATTATCACTAGCCAAGAAAGCTTTGCAAACGTCGGGTTCAGAGTGCCACCTTCAAGCGCCACACAGACTGCACGCGAGCGCAATGTGAAGAGCTCGTCAGTCAAGGCAGACATGCATCATATTGCAGGATAGCAGCTAGGATGTTGTCGACGAGCACTTGCCTGGGCTCAGGGTTCATAGGGTGTAGGAAACGCAATCTGGCGGTCTGACATCCGACACCCCAACTTGCTGAGCCCTCTCAAGATCTCTCAATCGATGTAAGCAAAAGTAGGCAGTAAGCCTCTCTCTCTCCCTCTACACATACATATATATATACACACACATACACTTATTTTTGTATATATATATATATGTAGAAACACAAACACACACACACACACACACGCTAGACAAGGGCATCCAGGAAGAATCATCCGAGCTGCGAGTTCAGAGTCGTGATCACAATGCTGGAGATCATCAGGAAGATAGAAGAGCCCAGCGACAGGCGACCTTAAGGTTCGGGGGTTTAGGGGTTTAGGGGTTTTAGGGTTTAGGGGTTTAGGGGTTCAGGGGTTTAGGGTGTGGGACTGGGGGTTTCGGACCTACAGGCAGTTGAGAGATTGAGGCGTTGCATGGCGTTGAATGAATCAGGACTGGGGCACGAGAGGCGGTTGTGAATTGAATCAATCCTTGGCATCGCGGTCTGAAAACTCGTCTGAATATTTAAACCGCCGGAAGCCCAACCATGATATTCAGTAGCTAAGCAACAGGCACATCTGCATGGACGACCCGACGAAGTCGCATGAGCAGACTATGGATCCTGGTTGGTAGCATGCTTGCTCACGTGATCCGACTGTATGGAACGAGGCCAACAACAACAGCAGCAACAAGAACAAACAGTAGAAGACCAAGCATGGCATTGTACGTTGTCGCATGCAAGGGCAACAGACACCATCGTCAGTGTAGTCGTCGTAGATGCCACTTTAAGCTACAACATCTGAGTTACTACGACAGAATCCATCAACCCTACACCCGCAAACTCCCAAAAAGCCATCCTCGGTGAAGCGCAGCTTTTTTTTGCGACCGTTCTTGAGGTTCTGTGCTCTTCTGAACTGCAACCACCACCCAAATGCTAAACCCTCCCCCTACAATATATATATATGTTTATATACATGCATGTATATGTGTACATGCATATGTGTGTTTGCACACGTATGTGTTTTTGTTGCTGCGCGTGTGTGTATGTGTCTATGTACGCATCCGTCGATCTATCTGTCTATCTTGCGGATCTTTCGCTCTACCTATCTATCGTCATGCAATATGCATAAACTTCTTTGTATGTATTTCTTGAAGGTATATAGCTACAATAACTGAACCTCAATCGATGCCTGCAACCCATGTCTTTCGCTCAAACGCAAACCAAGCAGCTCAACTCTTGGTCCTGCACATGGCTAATGTAGGGGCCAATAACAACTACCAATAATCTCTTAGGGGTTCCTTATGCTAGTTATAGTATAATGGGCCCCAAAACCTATTCAGGCCCTTGCATTAGTTTTTTCTAAACCAGGATCCCGTTTAGGGTCCGTTCTATGAAGGTTCCGTACTACAAAGGGGCCTAAAGTGGGACCCCAATTTGGAGAACTACTCGCATGGCTTATAGCCATGTAAAGATGGGATTCCAGTGGATTCTCGGATTGAGGGTTTGGGGGTCACGGCTGCAGAGTCTTCAGGTTCAGGGTCTGCCGACGGCCCTGGACTGGTCACGCCATGCGCAACCAGCTCCTTGAAACCTGGAAACCTGCGAAAACCTAAAGCAAAGGATCCAACCTTGACATCTTGCATCCCAAAGTTGTCTCCACATTGCCAAACCTTCTCAAAACCAACAAGCACAAGCACTCTAAAGACGCCAAGCCAGCAACCACTCCTCTGCCGTGACCTGGTGTTCTGGTAGTCCTTCTTCGGTGGTCTGTCGGTTCAGGAACTGGGCCTCAGTCTGCGACGTTTAGGGCATAGTGGCATAGTAGGGTTTCCGGTGTTAACAAGCCCCAAAATGCCATAAATTCTAAACCCTAAGGGTTTCAGGGACTGCAGTCAGTGACCAGGCCTTATCTCGACTCGTAAGCACTGAGCACTGGAAGCCTAAGTACCTCAACCTGGCAGGACGCCGACGCATATAACATATAGGTCTGAGAAATCAGCAGTATCGCCATGTTGCCACGATTGTCCGCTCAGGAATCCACAATCAGTAGTATCCCTACGTAATCCCACTATAAGTACACTATGTTCCTATGTGGCATCCTGCACAGCGACGGATTTCAGAAACACAGAAACTTTGGGCAGGCTTGAGCTTTGGTAGGATGATTGCAACAGAATCCGTACTCTCTGCCCTTGAAGCACCCCCTCCACTGCAAAAAGAGTATTTAGATTTAAAGACCACTCTGTTCAGGCTTATACAACTTTTGAAGATACTTCCACCATCTCAAACACTTCTATACTGGGCTTTGTCTGGGACTCAAACCGGAGTGAGACACCGTGCTGCTCAAAGGCTTCGTCTTACCTTCACCTGTGGCTACATCCTAACGGGATGTAGGGTTTTTTTGCCTCCCACCCAGCTAGAACGAGCCCGCATGGCACTTAACCCATGTAGGGGTTTAGGGAGCAGGGTAAATTAACCATAGCCTTTGGCTGGCCCACTTGCAGACCATCTGCTTTGTGGGTCTTCAAGTGGAAGTAAATGAAACAAATGTAGAGAAAGATCAAGATGATGGCGCACACGCGGGAGAGCAGCATGACCTAGCACGGCGAATCCAGGATGCTGTTAGTAACATTCGGAACTGGGCTGGCATGGCGTTTGGTGCGAGTCTGGAAAGGCACCCTAGAACGAACCCTAAACCCTAAAACTGTCGCTTCAATGATTTTTAAATGCAAGGTGCCGCTTCGGGGGTCCTGCGCGGGGCTCAGAATCACTGTTGAAGTGAACCCAAGAGACTCCACAGTAGATCATATAGGGGGATCCTTCATAGGATTTTCGGCCTATTTTTTAAAAGCAAAATTTTTAGGGTGTCTTGGAGTCTTTGGGTAGATAGACATGCAAACCGACTGTCTTAACTCTGCCTCAGGCCATGTAAGTTAAGCTTCCAGGCGGCTCCCGAAGCGCGAAACCCGAAGCCGTAAACCCTAAAACCTAACCCCTGAACTGAAGGAAACTACATGTGGGGAGTTTAGGATTAGGGGTTTAGGGTTTTTGGGTTTAGGGTTTTAGGGTTTAGGGTTTAGGGGTGTAGGGACTACAGGTGGGGAGTTTAGGGTATATAGGGCTTCTACAAGGCTTCTATAAGGTATATAGACCTTCTATAAGGCTCCTAAGATGGTAACTACCCACCTGAAACTGTCCTAGACTGAACCCCAAGTCCTAAACCCCAAAACCTACACCACTAATCCCTGACCCCTAAACCCCAAGTCCTAAACCCTCAACCTCGAGAGTCCCTAAAGCCCTGAATCTATCAAGACCTGAGCCGCGTAAACCCTACACCTTCGGAGGGGGAGGGTTTAGGGTTTAGGTTCAGGGGGTCGTAAGACACCGAGTTGAAGGCTTTGATCCACTGCTCTCTTCGATCGAAGACGGCTAGACTCAGCCAGCATGACTAGGGTTTTGGGGTATACTGCAAATTTGCACATACATGTTTGCAGATGAATGCAGATGAACAGTAATCCCTAAGCCCGTGCAGGAGCTTCGAAGAACTCACAAAAGAAGGAAGCCCTGCAAAACCTCTGGTATAAATGTTCCGACCTCATGTTACTCGTTCCGAACATATATAGGTTCATATAGATCCCTTTGAAGGAACCCCTCTTGATCCCTTTGTAGGAACCCTAAACCCTAAACCCAAAAAACCCTAAACCCTTAACCCCTATAAACCCTAAACCCTTAACAACCTCAACCCTTTAAAAACCCCAACCTCCTATAGAGTCCCATAGAGAACACTGCAGCGAAACCTTATACAAGTGCCTATAGACACCACTTATCGAAAGCCCCCAAGCCCGATTAAACCTCAGGGTTTTAGGGCTTTAGGGTTTTAGGGTTTCAGCACTCACACTGGGGCAAGCCTAGTCGAGGTTACTGGGTTTTAGGGTTTAGGGGTGAATTAGGGTGTTTTCCCTCCCTCCCACTTAGCAAGGACGAGCCCGCAGGGTTTAGGGTCTAGGGTTTAGGGTGTAGGGTCGAGGGTTTAGGGTTTAGGGTCTTATCCAAACCACCAAATCATGGCTTGA